ATTTCTAAGCTTCAATAATACTTTGATGCTTCAAATACTGATGGGGTTGGAGCATCAAAATATCTATCATGCTTATATTTTGGATAACTATTTAAGTAGTCATTTAAATTCTAGGACGTTAATATTTTGGCCATTCAAAAATTCTTTTTAATTTACTCATTCAAATTTTAGACATGTTTTGATCACTAAAAATTGTAATCCCTAACGACCATTAAAGTTTGACTTAAGGGTTACTTTTTGTTGAACTCTTATGTAGAATCGAATAATGCCAAGGGGGTGAACTGGCCTTTTAAAAATCTTTGGTGTGGAAGCAATAAAAGATAAGAATTAGACACAAGATTTATAGTGGTTCGACTTTCTCAACCAAAGTCTACATCCACTACCTTAACTCCACACTAAGGATTTCAACAAATTCACTAATTTGTTCTTTCTTTTTCTAGGCTCAAGAGTAACATTTACGATTCTCTAGGTTTTCAAGGCTAAACTATATCCACTCCCCTTTTACAAAGTATAAGAAATGTAAACAAGAAATCTCACAACGTAGGTGTTTACAAAGATTTAAGCTCACAAGAATAAAACAAAAGATATTCAATTAAGTTTTATACATTTATGTACAAGAGAAAAATGAAGGAAATATGAATGAAAAATCTTCTCTTGATATCTAAGCTTGGATAGGTGTAGTAACCCTTCTTCAAGTGTCCTTGGAGTGTTTTTATTATGTGGAATGAGTTGCTAGCCGTTTATGACCATTGGGGATGAGTTATAGCCGTTGGGAAGCTTTAAAAACATGCAATAAAGGCCACCTACACATGTAGTTTCGAAACTTTGAAGAAAGTTTCGAAACTCTTACTTAAAAATATGACCGTTAAAGAAAATCGCACTGTTAAAACAGTTTTTGGGTGCATAAAAGTTTCCAAACTATGAACAGTACCCATGTATGAACAGTATCAGGAACAATGCCAAATAGTGACTAAATAGTATTTTTCATATTTAAAAATCTTTAAACACATTTTAAACACTTTAAACATGTTTTAATTAACTCAAAAATATTTCATATATATAAAGAAATAAGAACACATATTTTTCAAGTTATTTTGGACTTTAAATTATTTTTGAAATATTTGATTAAGTCCAAAATTAATTTTACAAATATTTGTTATATCAAAATATAAGTTCAATACTTTTGTACCTATAATAGATCCAATTTATCATTTTTGCTCATACAGTTTTTTGTATCAATTTAACCCTCGAAGTTATTTAGGGGTATCTTCCTAGCCCTCAAAGTCTATTTTGACTAACATAACCTATAGTCTTTTGCGTTTATCGACACCGACCAATTTTCACGTCAAACAATATTGTTGACGTCTAAAAGTCTATTTTGACTAATAGAACCGTTAGTCTTTTGCGTTTATTGACACTGATAATTTTTCACGTCAGTAATATTGGCTGATGTGGCTTGATGATGACGTGACATTCATTTAAAAAAATAAGTAATAAAATATTTAAAATACTTACTAATACAACGGTTAGAAAACATCCCAAAAATTTGACTAATCCCTTAATCTCATTGAAATAAATAATAAAATTTTATGATTTTTTTCTAATCATTGAGTTTAGCAAGTGTAATATCACAAAGTCCCGAGAGGTAAGTGAACTCCGTGAATTTTATAATTTAAGTTATTGGGCTTAATTGGGTCGGGATTGGGCTCATAAAGAGAGTTTTAAATAGTGGAAAGAGGATGAAGAACCAAAAGCGTTATTATTCATTTTTCAAAAGATGAAGTCTTTATATTCTTTCAATTTCTTCTTCCCCTCATTTCTTCATTTTCCTCTTCAAAGGTCAAGCCAAGGTAAGAGTTTAAGCATTTCTCAAATATCATTTTCGTTCATAATCCCCCTAATAACGTTATTTTATTGAAGCAAAGTCTTGGGGTTCTTTTTAGCTAGAGAAAAGTGGTGGGTTTTCATCCAATTCACAAAGGAAGGAGTTTGGCTAAACAAGAGGCTTCATTTCAGGTTTCTAAAACCAATGTAGTGTATTTCTAATTTTTTTAGTATTAAGATTATCATAAGTATAAAGATTTGCTATGATTTGTGTATTTAAGCATTTTAAGGTTTATATTTGATATCATGATCAAATGAAGCTTTAGAGATCAAAAAGACATTTTTATGCCACTTTAAGACTCTAGTTAACTCGCTAAAGATTTAGCACTTGTTTAAAAAGCAAACTATAGCCTTTAGGATGGTTTTTGGGTGATTTATCGAGCCTAAATAACCATTTCATGGTTTGAGTATCGATATTGAGATGAACAATATCGATACTGGATGATTTGAGAGATAAAATTAGGGATTTCGGGTTGGAAGTATCGATATTGTTAAGGGGAGTATCAATATTGCCCCTACAATATAGATACTCAGGGTGGTCGAATCGATATTGGGCCTCAATTTTAGAAGAAAAATGCATTTTTGGTACGATACTCATAGGGGTATCGATAATTGATCCTAGGGTATCGATACTACAAGTAGAGTATCGATACTACTCACTTCGAATGGTTAGTTTTGACACAATTAAGGCTAGTAAGAACTCAGAATGATACGTAATAATAAGAATAAGTCCGTGAGGGATCCGAATACCCAAACATACCTAGAAATACTCGTAGGAGTGGGTTACAATCAAAGTAACCAAAGCAGGCGTAACACATTTAAGCTCCTTAAGTCGAACAAGTAGTGAATATCTAAGAATAATGAATCATGTTTGAGGATGTAACTGCAATTAGTAGGATGATGTCATCAATTTACGAACCAATGGAGTTATGAATGGTAGAATTATCAGCGAATGGTGGATGTACAGTCGCCCCTCTAATTCAAAGGTGAATTAAAGGGAAACGTATCAAGAGTGTAGTTACTCAGAAGCGAATCAGAGTCAGGTATCGGACTAGCGAGTAGTATCACCAATGAACAACAAACACATAAACCACCGTAAAATCTCGAGAACTTGTAGAGACTTCACCAGAGGCAGTGAATGACTAAAACGACCTTAATTATCGAACGACCAGAATAGAACATACTAATAAACTATCGTACCATGTTCTAGATGAAAAACGAGCGAGATAACAATGAGGAAAAACAGTAAATGAGAACATAAATAATTTAAATAACTAAAGAGATAAGTATAATAAAACTAGCTTTTGTGTGACACTCAGGGAACAACCAGAACACCCGAGTTACTTTAGCAGTAGGACGAGTGTCTTGTTTGATAGTATGTCCAGGTCTATACAAGTGAGTGCTACGACACTTCTTTTTCCAGGTGGGCATAGATGCCCCAAGACTCGACGAAGTAAGTTGGCAGGGTGTATGTTTCCGATGTAGTTTCAAATCTCACCCCAGTTTACACATGAGTTCTTAGGTAAGCTAAAAAGGTGCGTGAGCTCTGAGATGTATCCCCTCAGTCGCACCATGATGCTTACCTTATCTTGTGTGTCACATAGTACTATAGGTAGGCTAGAGGGGTACGTGAGCTTTGAGATATAGCCCCTCAGCCACACCATGATGCCTACCTCAGTTTGTGTGTTTGTTGCATAGTAGTATAGGTATGATAGAAGGGTGTGTGAGCTCTGAGATGTATCCCCTCAGCCGCACCATGATGCCTACCTCAACTTATGTGTTATGTTTGTGTGTTACATAGTAGAGTCAAGGTTGCATTCAGATAATGCACAGCAGAGTTAGTATCGCATTTAGATAATGCATAGTAGTCACATATATTATGGTTAGAGACTCTGTAGAGGTGTTCTCATAGAGAGGCCCTTAGCATGAGATTAAAGGAAGCATGAAACTCTTATGTTAGCATTAGAACAACTAAGCCTTAAGTAGGTAGCATTTGATCTAGGTCACGCATGTACCTATTGCTTAGTACTTTATCTTTAGCACGCTTATGTTTATAAGACTTTTAATGTTGTTCTAAATTAATGATTATATTGTTGGGCTTTGTGATCTCAACCTTCGGATGTTTCCGTTGGCAGGTTAGTAGATCGAGCAATTCGTAAAGCACCGTTGCAGCAGGACTTCCAGCATCTCCTTCAGAGTGTTGTACTGTAGCTTTAGTGGACATGTGTATTCATAGAACTTTACCTATGTATTTGAGTTGTAAACCTCAACATGTATTATTTTGATTTAAATTATGTGTCATAGTGCTCCGATTTTATAAAATATTTTTATGACAATTATGTATGTTTTTAATTATGATACCAATGAGTATGTTCTAAAAAAATGAGCAAGTTTTTAAAATCAGAGGTTATTTCGGTAGCTCAATGTGGCACTTTAGGCCCAATCGGGTTTAGAGTGTTACAACAAATATTTTAACATAATCTCTTAAAGATTCGCAGTTCTGTTAATCAAAATTGTTAACGGACTTCGAGGGCTAGGATGATGGCCCTAAATAACTTCGAGAACTAAATTGATGCAAAAATCATAGAGCCTAACTTTTAGACATTAATATTTTGGTCGCTCAAATAATTATTTGATAATTTAGTCATTAAATGAATGAATTTCTTAATAAATATACAACTTAATATTAATGGATTTCAAAATTAAAGCTGGAAATAATGTATAAATAAAATAAAAAAAATTAAAATAAAACTCAAAACCTGATGATCCATCAAAATTGAGTCCACAAGAGAATCCAAAATCATATCTGATTTTAAAATAAAATCGAGTACAACCATTGGCGTCGATTTGGCTGATAAAGTGAGCTCATTTAAGTTTAGATGAAGTATTGTGTAGAGTATGAATTATGGTTGTTAGAAGAAGTCTTAAAGTGCATTTTAATGCTAAAGTTTCTGGTTTTATACTATATCACAGTCGACAACTAAAAAAGGATATTGCCGCGGCAAATTTCGTTGGCTATTAGTAGGAAAGTTTCGTGTGTCTTTAAGTTTCTTACAATATAATAAGATTTTGTGAAGATTTAGAGTGCAAAGACACTAAGAAGCCTATATCTAAAACTAAGAAGAGATGCATAAAATCACATCAATAACATTCGATATCAACGTCTCAACAACGCATTTACCGCGTGATATGCTGGGCATTTGTAAGTGCTCTAAAGAGTTCAAAACGATCCTTCCGTCTCGTTTAGGAATTAGCAGATGATAAAAAATAACCAGTTCATTACAGTATCTCAGAAATCTGCAAAAAGAACAGCGTTTAGAGTTAATACTGTATTCCTAACGTGTATATTGATAGACAGCTTAAAACGAGAGATGATGCGTAAGCTTTAAAAAATGCAACCAGCCGTAGATGATCCTTTCACTTTGAATGTTGTCAACTGCAATTGGTTGGGCCTCTTTGTTAACTAAATACCATGGATCTGTCAAAGAAGGTGAGCAAGTATAGCACTTACATTAATGGGCATCTCAGCTATGATAAGGCCAGCGCTTTCTTCTAAGCTTTTTAGAGTAACCACTTCACCTCCGACAACCATATTGATCACTATTCCATCTGCATATGTTTTAGTGAATCATTGTGGGAATATAACATGATGTATCAATAATAAAATATTAGGTCCAAGGACGAAACCTGCTGCCAAACACGAAGTCAATCGCCTCGTATATGTTTCCTGCAAGCAAACACAAGTTGAAAAAGGTAAGGAAAAATGAATCTTTGACACGTTTTTATTAAACAACACATAATAACACTTGAAAACAATGTTTAAAAACATGAAAATGTTGTACTTCACTGCTGGGATAAGCTCCAAGATTGGAAGTCCGAATGTACCCCACAGCCACTAAATGAACTTCCTAATATATATACAAATTCTACCCATGAATAACTCAACCAGATAGTAGATTGATAACCAAACAATAGAGCTGCCAAACAAGATCATAAATTAGCAACTGATATCAAACCTGAGCTTTACTACTTTATTATTCTAAACACAGAAACAAACTAAAACTTGGCATATAGGCCTTGTAATCCGACACAATTTTTCATAATACCAATGCCACAGAACAACTTAATCAGCTGAAACACCACCAATCTAATAATTAGGGAGAACGGAATAAGCAATTGCATCCTTGATAATCTAATGAATCAAAATCAGTAGCGAGTGATCAAATCAGTCTTATAGCAACCAACAGAATTGAATCAACAAGTTGTCAACCAACATTACGAGCTTGGTTCCCAGTTAAACAATATTAGAAACTTAATATAGTTTCATAATCTTAAACGTAAGATTCTATAAGAACAATACAGCATATAAAATACGAACTTTAAAGAGTTTCAATTATCAGGCGAGAAAATTACCTTCTTAGTTGGTAATTCATAATTAATCAAAACACGAGCCAACATAGGAGATTCTCCAGAAGCAAGAAGGGGAAGGCAGGCATCGGTTACTACGATCATACAAGATTTCTGCTCTTCTTTTTCAATTTCATGACCATCTCCTGTCTGAACCTTCACATGTTGGCTCCATTTCATCGTTGTTTCCCTGAATTTCTCCAAAATTATACTTCGTTCTGCTTCAGCTTGGTCGCTGTACTGGCATGTAAAGAAAAAAAAATATAAATTAATAGTATAGAATTGAAAGTAAAGTTGTTATCACAATGCAACAATTTACCAAACAAGACAATGAAATGTATGGGAGATCCGAGACGGCGGAGTAGACGGCGTCGAGCTCGTCACGTGAGTTGCAGCAGAGCACTACCGGAAGGCACGTGCGTCTTCCCGCCACTCCTAGGAGATCAATTAACGTCTCCTGCGAATTTGGATTCCGTTTGTTCTAATTCAAAATTTAGGGAAAACGAAAATTTGAAGTTGATCGAAAAATTAATGGGACAGAGAGAGAGAGAGGACCATTTTGAAGCGGAGTCTGTCGACGGCCACGTAGAAGTGTTGAATTTGATTTGAAGAACTGCAAATTCATGAAATTTATTAGAAAAAGCGGTGAAATTTAAGTTTTATTGGATTAAGTAAAAAAATGGAGAAACAAATACCTAAAATTAGAAGTGGGTTGAGAGGGAGGAGATGAAGCTTCGATTGCATCAATAGCCATGGTATCTTTCTCTCTGTGTTTCACAGTACTGTGCTTTTCGTCGATCAACTCGGACTCTGTTTGAGTTAACTCAGACAACAATCAGGCCAGCGAGGAATTTCACTCCCAAAACGAAGATACCCAAAATAGCGAAGATACCAAGCTTTGATGCTTAAACTCTTTTCCTAAATCAGTATAATAACAATTTTAATTCTCAATATTTCATAATTTCTCAATTCAGTACAAATTTAATCCTATAAACTTACAAATTATATCAGTTTATTCCTCGTACCCATCATCACTCCTTATCTGTTCATTGAAAAAAAAATCAAAGGTAAGATATTTTAGTGATGAACAAAATATAAATATTTTCAACTTTAGAGATGAAATTGAAAAAAACAGTTCACTGACGAAAACAGATAAATGCTAATAGTTGAATGACCATAAGGTAGTTTATCAAGCTTTAACAAGTTTATATTAAGTTAATTTCACCACAAGTCCTCAAAATATGAATCAAATTATATATTAGTCTCAAACTTTAAAGAATTTCAATTGAGTCCTCCAACTATCAAACATTATTTCAATCAAGTCCTTTTGTTAGTTTAGACATTGACTTGGACATTAAATGGGCCAACTTAAGTATGACACGGAGCATATTTAAAACACATTGATCAGATTTAAAATGTTTTAGTTAACATAGATTGTTTAGGCAGTTGAATACTTATTTAACATCTTGAGGAGAGTTAAATATCGAGTTGTACAAATGATTTCATTGATATTAGTGGCGTTTGGTTTTTATAGAAAAGGTTTTACGAGTTCATTAACAGAAATATCCGCTCTAAATCTCACAAACTCAGCCTCCTGAAAAGTGAAAACCATGAAGGAAAAAAAGATGCGTAGAAACACAGATTGCAAAAGTTGTATTGATTTAATAAAAGATAGCAGAAGTGGGAAGAATCGAAGCTGGTCCCTTTGATATCTATCGTCTCTGTTGCCTGTGAGCTGCCCTTTCTAGCTTTTCCCGTGCAAATGACGGATTTGATCTTTCTTCTCATCATCTAAAGTGAAATTCTTCCTTCTTTTTGTAAACACTAATTTTTTATTTTTGTTATTATTATTATTATTAAAATTATTATTATTAATATTATGTATATTATAATATTATTATTTATTATTAATTTTATTACAGGCCCAAATTACATAAATCGGAGCCCAATTACAAATGGATCCAGATCCTGAAGCCCAGTTCAAGCCCAAGTGGAGACCCAACAATAACCCTAAACTCTAGGGTTTCTTGCATCCACGTCCCAGCCGCCGCCATCTCAAGAGTTTCCAGACGCCTTTGATGCACCACACAGCTGCCGTTTCCTCTGCCAGGTGGTCCAACCGACTCTACCGACGTTTTCAATGCCAGGTGCTTCAACCACAACATCGCCGTCCTCAGCAGCTGCCACGACGCCAACCTCGCCGAAGTCTCCAGAACGCCACGAAGCCCTCCACATGTCGAGTTCTATGGTGAGTCACCACCATAGCCATGGTGACTCACCGAGAAACCCTTCCGTGACCGGTCCGAGGAGCGTTTCGTCGAGGCTATAAAAGCCATCGACCACACCTGCAACGAAAAGGGACAGAGGACAGAAAACAGAAAAAAAATGAAAGGAAGAGAGACAAGAATAGAGGGCGACGGAGAGATATCAACTACCCACAACAACCAAATATTGAAAGAAAAGAGAGGAGAGAAACTTACCGAGGAAACCACGACCATCGGATCCCTCCAAATCGCCGTCGAACAGTGAAAATACCGAAGGTATTTTTTTAGATCTAGGCCAAGTTAAGGATTTTTAGGCTAAACGTCATCGGTTTTGGCTTTAGGGTATTCAAGGCTTCGTTTTGGTGTATTTTAGTATTTTCGACCACCGTTAACGGTGGCCGGTGGAGGTGTTCGACGCCGGAGTGCGCTGCCGGTCGGAGACCCTGTTCCCTCCGGTAAGGGAAATAATAGAGAGAAGGGAGAGAGTTTTCTTCTCTCTCAACTAGAGAGAGAAGAGGAAATGAAGAAATGAGAACAATGGCCCGTAGGGCCAGCCGTTTTGTTCTTAAATACCCCTCCCCGAACGACGTCGTTTTGGGGAGGGGTCTATGTGTAATTTATTAAGTGTAAAACCCTTTCCGCAGCCCTTTTACAGTTTGTATACTTCCATTTTGGTCACTAAAAGTAATTTCTGATTATTCTAATTTTGTCTTCGAACTTTTATTTATTTATAATTTAGTCATTACCCGTGTTTATACATATTTAGCATATATATATCACATTTAGTACCTAAAATTTTGATAATATTTATTTTAATCCCGATTGATAATTTGGGGTAAATATCATATTTGGTTCCTTAACCTTTAATAATTATTATTTTGATCATTAATTAATTAATTTAAGCACAAATTATAATTTTAATACTTAGATTTATGGCATTTCAAATTAAACTATTTAATTTTAATATGCCATAATTTAGTCACTAATTTTAATTATAAGTTTTATTGCTTTTTATACTTATTTTTAAGTTTATTTATCTTACTCATTATTTATATTTTAATTTTATATGTTTAAATTATTATTTTCATTATTATTATATTAAAATAAATTATTTTTATTTTTAAAGAAAATGTTTTGGTTATTTATTTATTTTTTAATATCGAAGAAAAGAGCTGTCTTAAGGCACCTAGAAGCTCTTTTCTGATATTTTTAAATAAATAAATAAATATCTTATTATATTAAAATAAATTTTTATTTTTTAAGAAAACGTTTTTAGTTATTTATTTTATTTTTTAATATCGAATAAAAGAGATGTCTTAAGGCACCTAAAAGCTCTTTTTTGATATTTTTAAATAAATAAATATCTTATTATATTAAAATAAATTTTTATTTTTTAAGAAAATGTTTTTAGTTATTTATTTTATTTTTTAATATCGAAGAAAAGAGCTTTCTTAAAGCACCTAGAAGTCCTTTTCTGATATTTCTAAATAAATAAATATCTTATTTATACATATTAATATATTTTCTTAAAATTATTTGAAATAATATAATTATGAATTAAATATATCTTTGAATTTTTAAATTTTTAAATTTCCAATAATAGAGACTATGTATAATTAAAAAGTATCAATTTTGGGCGTTGTAGGGGTGTTAATCCTTCCCTAAACGTAACCGACCACGAATCCATTATTATTATTAAAAAGAACGATTTTTGGTTATAAACGCAGATCAGTTCATCTTTTAACTGATGTTTTCTTAAAAAACTCTTTTAAAAGATAATTTTTAGGTATTCGACCTACCTGACTCAAAGGGCCGATGGCGACTCCCAAATTATTTTACCAAATTATTTTAAAAACCATTTATTCACATCACTTTTCCTGCCAAATAAATATTTCGTGCCCGGACGAAAACCGGTTACGACAGCTTGGCGAATCCGCTGGGGACCTATTAAGCTTTGAAATTAATTATAAATTGTCTCTAGAAATTAAAAATTCATATATTAATTTATAATTCTTTCCTTTCAAATTTTTTATACATATACTTATTACTTTTGTAATATTTTATATTTATGATTGTTTTTATTTTATTTAAAGGTGTTAAATTTCATTTTTATTTAATTGTTTGTTAGAAGTCTGAATATTTCTCCTCACACACAATACTTGCATTGCATAAGCATAATCTCTATAACTGAGATTTGTCCCTTTTAAGTGGGAGTGAAAGCGACGTCTTCGTGAGAATTTATTCTCCGTGTCAGGCATAAAGAAATGTGTCCCCTCGAATTGAACTCGGTCCACTTAAGTCTGTAATGGACTATGTTGAGTTAATCGATCGACTGAATCGGCCAAGAGGGGGGTGAATTGGCAATTAAAAATTTCGTGGAAGCTTTTGCAGAAAATTTGAAAGTAATTGCACAGCGATTTACAGTGGTTCGACTTTCTCAAACAAAGTCTACGTCCACTACCTTAGCTATCCACACTAAGGATTTTCCAACAAATTCACTAATTTTTCTTTCTTTTGAGGCCAAAGAGATAACCTTACAAAATCCCTCAAGAGTATACCCCAACTCTTGAGAACACTCTTTTTCCCAAAGAGAATATTACAAATTTGCAAACTTACAAGAAAACCTCACAAGGTAAGATGTTTGCACAATTCTAGAACAAGAAAAGAACACTCAAAGATAATTACAAATGAGCACAAATGGTGTTCTTGAAAGCAAAATGAATATTGAAAGGAAAATTGGCTTGATTTGCACAAACTTGGTGTTTGATGCTTTCTCTCTTGTTTCTCTATAATTTCTTGTTGATCAAGGGCTTCAGAACTTGTTTAAATACACCTTGAATCTCTTCTGAACGTTGGGGATGATTAGTGAAAATCATATAGCCGTTTTAGTGTTAAAACAATTAATAAAACAGTTTAGAGCATGGGGGAATCGGTACCCCCTATGGGGAATCGGTTCCCTAAGTGTAAAATTCAAATATTTCGACCGTTGAACAGGGGGAATCGGTACCCCCTATGGGGGAATCGGTTCCCTCCGAGCATTCTGGAAATCTCGGAGCCAAACCCTTCAGGGGGAATCGGTACCCCCTTGGGGGGGGAATCGGTTCCCTCTGAGCAATCTGGAATTTTTGGCTTTGAAATGGTTCGAAATACTTTGAAAGATTATTTTGAAATTGTTTTAAGATTAAAACTTAATTTTACACTTAAGTAAGGATTAAAAATGATTTTTGAAATATTTTGAGTAATGTTTTGATATTCGAATAATTATATCGAATATACTTAGAAAATCATTTTGGAAAATCTTAAAATTCATTTAACTTAATTTGTTATATCGAAATATCAAAATGTTTTCAACAATCTCCCCCTTTTTGATATAACAAAACATTTTAGTAATTTTTAAGATTTTGAAATCAAGTTTTGAAATTACTCCCCCTTACTTTAACACTTCTCCCATTTATCATTTTTAAAAACACACTTAAAACACACTTCTCCCCTTTTTGTTAAATCAAAAAGATTCAAATGAACGTGAAAATATTAAGCCAATTGATTAGGTATATGTATGCATAAGCTGCTAAGATCACAATTAAGAGAAACGTTAGCCAT